GCCATGTCCATTGCTGCCTATTTCCTCTCTTTTTCCAGGCCCGAGGCATGATCCAGACTAAGGCACCACAGTGGAAGGAGCAGCTGGAGGCCAGCCGCAACCCCACCAACAGCCATGTGCAGGGCCTGCTCACCAGCACTCATGGCCAGGGCTATCCGTCGGGCCGGCTCACGCCTACCCACCTGGAGACGGTGAGGAGCACATGGACAGCCTTCACCATGGTGGTGGCAAGGCTGCTCTGCCTTTCTGAGCTTGCAGGGCAAGGCCAGGCTGTGGCAGCCTCCCTGCCTCTCCATCCTCTGGACAAGATGAAGGAAAGCATACGTATGGGTTGTGATGGAGGAATATGTTGATTTTTGGGGTGTCTCTTCTTTGACACTTCCTCAGTGGCTGTGCACTCAGATTCTTTTCCTTCCAGCAGAGACCCCTTGGAGACTTTGCTTCTTCTATGGCTGGGAGTAGGTCCAGCATCTTCTCTCAGGAACCACCAGAAATGAGACTGTCTCCTCAACCAGAGGTCCCCAGGCGACCGCTGCAGAGGACACCATCAGCCAGTATGTCTCATGTCCAAGAGCTGGGAGACGGTGCTTGGGCCTCTCTGGGAACAGGGTTGGGTTCAGGGAGGGACCACGTCTATTAAACAGTGGGTCCTCAGCCACATCCCCGGGCATAGTGAGAGGTCAGTACATGGGGAGCTGGGGAGGACAGTGATGCATGAGACGGGGAGGAGCTCGGCCTTCAGAGTGGAGTCCATCCAGGACTCAACTGCCTCTCGTTCATCACAAATTTCAGTAATAAATAAATAAGAGCGAGAGAAACAAAAATGTCCCATATTCTACAGCAGGGTCAGGAAGAGGGTCAGCAGCCTTTTGCAGCAGGCAGTGCCTGTGGCCTAAATATCTGGCCAACGACCACGTAGCGCTGGTGTTCTTGAGGCAGCATGGGTTCTTGCAGGAGGATGCTGAGTTCTATCCAGACCCCTCTAATGCCTCTCTGCAGGTTTGATCCCTGCTGGCCGTGTCTCCCGCTCTGGTTCCTTTGGTGAGGCCAGCAGCAGCAGTGAAGGCAGGCGGAGGAGCGGCACAGTGAGAGTGCAGGCTATCGCGCCCCACACGACGGGGGCCAACCGGACCCTGCTGCGCTTCGATCCTGGGGATGTCATCACAGTGCTGATGCCAGAGGCGCAGAACGGCTGGCTGTACGGCAAGCTGGAGGGCTCATCTGTGTACGTGAGACCTCGGTGCAGTAAATGGGCTTTGTCTTTTTGTCTCTCCTGTGCCGTGCCCCCAGCCTGCTTGAGCAGGAGAAGCAGTGAGGCAGGGTGAGGATGGGTGACAAAAGCCAGGGCCCTGGTGATACCTCCCGACTCGCATGGCTGAGTGGCTCCTGCCATGGGAGCCAGCTGTGAACTGCTGGAGTTACCTGAGAGGCCTGGCATTTCTCAGCTCCAGGACAGACAGGGCATGGAAACTGCTGCACCCAGCGCTTACTGAATTACTCCCTATGGCATTACCAGCTGACACTTGTTGGTGAAGCCAACGCCCCATGCTCTGGGTCACTCAGATGCAAGATGAGCAAGAGTAGTGCCTTTCTTCTGATAGAGTTCTGAGGTGCAGCTGCTTTGCCCTGGGGAATAGAGCATAGCTTCTGAGACAGGCGAGTCCTGTGCAAAGCAAAAGGTGAAAATACCGTTGCTCCGTGGCTTCCCAAGGACTGTCTTGCCCCACCTAGGGGTGAAAGTTGTGCTGAATGCTATCACACATGATAGCTGCAGCAGTGGAGGCTCAGCTGATGTGTGGGATGGGTGTAGACAGACCCACAAACTGGTTTGCCTGGAAGTCATTCATCTCTCTTTCTGTGTCTCAGATGTGGCTGGTTCCCTGAAGCTTACGTCAAGCCTCTGGAGGATGCGAGGGACATGGAGGAGCCACCTGTCAGGTAAGAGGAGGGCAGTTGGCCAGCAAGAAAACAAAGTGCCTGCCACCTAGTAAGTCTTTCATACTAGCAGGATGCCTGTTTCAGGTGCAGGCTGCATAATTTCTCCAAAGATGTCTCTGTGGCTGGCACCTGTGCTGCTCCCCATTCCTTGCTCTTTGGCTCTCCTCTCACTGTTTTCCCTTCTTGCTCAGGTCTTTCCCACTCCGGAGCAGTCACAGTATGGATGACATCTTGGACCATCCCAGCGTTTCTTCCTCTAGCTGGTCTGCTGCTGCCCAAGCTGCTGTGCCAAACCCACCTCCTGCACCGGTGGGTGCCGGCAGTCACCAGAGTGGGCTGGTGACATCAGGTGGTATGAAGGTGAGTGCAGGAGGGCTGACTGATATCAGTGGAGGGAGGTACATCCTTCCAATGGTACTGGCTTCCATCCTTTTCTGCAGTGAGAAGGAAAAATGCTTATGAGATGTTGACATGTGCCCTCTTCCCTTGTCGAGATTAGATGGCTTGTTAGCATTGGCCTTTCTCATCCAGTCTGCTCTCATGCAACCATGTCCTGGTGTCCCTACAGTCAATTTTGTCTGTGCAGATCCTCAGTGCTTGGATTTCCTCTTCCAGGGACTGTCTTTGTGCTCCTGCCCTTCTCATTTTTCTCTGTTTTTTGCTCACCAGGGCCCCTTCAGTTCAGTCCTTTTCTCCATGACTTCCCAGCCTGATTTCTGGTGGCTCCGAGGCAGCACCTCTTTCTGCTAATAGTAGGACCATGGAGTGATCAGGCTGGGCTGGGGGTGGCTTACCAGCTGACAGAGATGCCATCCTTCTTCTCCCTTCAGTGAATGGAGAATAGTTTCATTGGTCCTCTTCCAAATTTGAGCAAGGCTTGGATTAAAATCACAGCTGGAATAGGCAGAGAACTGAGGGTAAAGGCTGAGAGCACAGCTATTTTGGAGAGTCTTAGAACAAGGAATTTTCAACTCATAGCTCACAGATGGCAAGTTGGGAATTAAACTCTCCATGTAACATTGCTTCCAGTTGTGAGGAATTGACTGGTGAAAACAGTCAAAGTTAAAGTGGAGGACAGTTGAAAATGAGGACCTCTGGTTGGAGAGGGAAGAATGGTGCTGCCTGCTAGGAAGGCTAGGAAACCTCATTTCTAGTCACTGGTTCTAGGCAGTGTGAAGTTGTAGGAAACTGGATGGCTCGAAAGACTGGAACACATTTAATCAGGCTTTCATCTTCCCTTTCATGATCTGTTCCATGGTTTCAGGAAGCCTCAGGCTGCACAGCACAGAGGGGAATGGGCTCTAAATTCTATGGCCTCTGGGTTACTGATTTCCATCCATCTCCAAGGCTAGAATATAGGGGTAGACCTGAGATTGAACAATGATGTATGTGGAGCATTTAAATTTTGGTGGCAAAACAACTGAATCTCATTAGAAGTTTGGAAAGACTCAGCCTTGCTCTAAACTTCTGCCCCAAATATCCTCCAGCAGCAAATAAATGTTTGTTGCTATTCCCAGTTGGAATACAGAGCTTTCTTGTCTGCCACCAGCTACAGAAAGTGCTGTGCATTAGCAGGCCATCACAGTTGTCACTGATCCTTCATCATCTACTGGCCAAGGATAAGGGTCACAGGACCCAGCTCTCTTTCTCCTTCAGGTTGGTTCACATTTAAACAATACATATGTAGGGCAGGGTACCAGCACTCTTGCATTCCCCTGCAGGTGCAGGGAGCATGTGAGGACTCTGACAACGAGCTCTTTGCTAGAGTGGGTGGGCAACATGAGGGGGCATCTCTGGCTGTGCTGGCAGGGTGGAATGTAGACCAGACTGGCCCTGTTTGCTGTGCTCTTCAGACATGACACTTAGGGGATCTGAGGCATCTCCCTTCTTCCTCAAAACAAAGGGACGTGTCCTAGGGGAACAGGGAACCTGTGGTGTAGAGACCGCCAACCACCACAGGTAATATGCAAAATTTGAATGAATAAGGAGTCAGAGCCCTGTTAGTAGGGCTTGGGCTCTTAATTCACTCAAGCTTTTTGCAAAATCTTCTTTCAAGTGTGCAGTGTCCCCTGATCCACTTTTGTCTCTCCATTCCCTCCCCCAGTCCAGATAACTCACAGTTGCCTTTCTTTTCACTGCAGAAACCAGGAGTATTTGACCAGCCACCTGAACTCTTCCCAAGGTAAGAGTGAAACATAGGGCTGCACTCTGGAACCACCAGAAAGAATGGCATTATTACAGTGCTATTACTATAGAAGACTTAACAGCTCTTGCTTGGTCATCAGCTCTCCAGCACGGTCTTTCCAGACCATTTTGCTTGATGTGATCTGTCTCCTTTTCCCTTTCAGAGGTACCAACCCCTTTGCCACAGTCAAGCTACGTCCCACGATCACCAACGATCGCTCTGCACCCATTATCCGATGAAGTGGTCGTGCAGGGAAGAGGAAGGCATAGGAGTGACGGGCTGCAACCCCTATTGGGCAGTGACCTCATGCTACCGCTCACAGAATGACCTCTCTCTATCCCTCCCTTCCCTCTGGGACATGAGGACCTGTCTCATGGCTGTCTGGCATGCTGTAGCCAACAGCAGGCCCTCTTTGGATTGCCCTCCACCCCTGTGTGATGTTGTTGTGCTTAAGTGGGAGAAGCCTGGTGATGGTGGCCTGAGGGGTGGTGGTGGGGAAATTCTGATGGTCTGGGAAAAGGACACTTGGCAGATTTTGCTGCTGGAAAAATGAATCCCAGAGGGAGGTGGCTGCCACAAAGCTGCCAGTGATGTGACTTGGCTGAAGGGCTCTTGGCCCCTTTGTCAGCCATGTTGGCTTCAGCCCCTCTTCACCACTAGCAGACCCCTTCCCTGGCCAGTCAGCTCCTGGGCACAGGGAAGGAGGTGATGGAGCCCAGTGTCACGGTCCTACCCTTCCACCAGTTGTCCTGTGGAGAAAGCATTTTGAAATAAAACAGACCATGCTGCTTCCATAGCTGTTCCAGCAGCCAGGCCTTTGCTGTGCTCAGAGGGCATGGAGAGGAGGACGTGGCTCCCCTAACAGCCAGGGGATGGGGGCTGCTTGACCCTCTGCCAGGCCTCACCAGCCAGCCCTGGCTCTGCTGTCACTGGAGGGCAGCACAACCCTGCTTCCTGGTCCCCTCAGCGCCTGGTAGGCCTCAGGCTGGAGGATAAGGCCTAGCGGCCATCTTCTCAGTCCCTGCCATCCCGGCCCTGTAACTGGGCTGCCCTCCCTCCCAGGAAGGGAGCGCAAGCAGCAGCCCAGGCCTGAGCCGATTAGCCTTATTAATAGAAATTAAACCCTGGCTGCGAGTGCTGCCAAGACCTGCGGGGGCCCCGCATGTGCCTCCTTCCCTACTGATGGGGCACAGGGACTAAGAGGCTTGGGAGGATTAACATGTGGGCCCCGAAACCCTGCCCTCGAGCCTGCAGGGGAATGGGCTCCCCCGTGTGTGGCTGGGAATCATGGTGGCAATCGAATGGTAGCCATGTAGGGGTTTTGTTTTGGGGAGGATGCTGAGGGTGGGATGGATGTCCCAGCAGCTCTTCCAGCCATGGACGATGGCAATCACTCAGCTGCTCCACCTGATCTTCACTCTCTGCTGGGCATGTGCCCCTTGGCTTTGCCCCAGTCCAGAGCATGGAAGAGGTAGTGGGCACCTGGAGGCACCCATCTCCTGTTTTGCTCCTCACTGAAACGTGGATCTCTGCTATGTTCTCCCCCTGCACCCAGTCTCCTGCTCAGCCCATCACAGCACTCCTCTTCCTCCTTTGTCCCCTCCCAACCTGCCCAGTTCTGCTGGGAGATCAGTGAGGAGCCCCTTGGCAGGCTATGGGATTACTGTGGGATTCGGGCTGCGACAGGCAGCCTCCTCCCCATTGGCTGGAAAAGCCTCTTAAAAGTGGAGAAGTGCGTTCTGCACGCTCAGCACCTGCTGGTCTTCATCAACCTGAAGCCATAATCAGCCACTGACCCACATCCACACTGCCTGCATCCACCCAGAGGAGGCAAGGGGGTCCCTTGCGTGGGGCATCCCTTCTGCAGAGGGTGGCATTGGAGCTGGAGGAAAGCACGCTGAAAGGGGGATTAGCTCTGCAGTGAGGACGTGGCTGCCCCTGAAGAAAGTAGCAGGGCACAAGAGACTCCTGCAGCTGTCACCCTGTGCCCTGCTGACGGCGTGCCCACCATGGAACAAAGAACCTGCGGGGCCATCTGACTGGGCACACTCGTCCAGAGCCAGGGAGTACCAGCTGGACTGACCTGCTCGGTCTCTGGGGTCTTTGGCACTCCTCGCTTCATTGCACAGGTCAGTGATACAGAGGGGTGCTCGCATCTGAGCACACATTACAGCTTCTGAAGGCCTGTACTCATTTCACTCTTTAGTGAAAGCTTTCCCATGGTGGTTTTTGTAGGCTACTGGCAAAAATTGTGGCCTTTTGCATTTATTAAACCCTTCCCAGCCTATCCAAGAGACATCCTCGTATTTGTGTGCACGCTCCTGGATGCTGGTAGTGGTGCAACTTTCCTGGTACAATGGGGTTTTTCTGCAGTGGCCTTCACCTGGTCGGGGCTGGTAACTTCTGGTGCTGGTGCAAGTCTCCTGACCTGGAGCTAGACCTCTCCAGCTGCAGCTAGACCCATAGCAGTGCTCACTATGGGCCTACTTGCATGCGATGCCCAGGGCAAGTGCTGCTGCCTGTGCTGATGAGCTTTAGCATAGGGTATTTTTACCCATGAATAAAGCTCCTTAAGTGTGGAGAAAATAATAGCAAGCTGTAGCGTATGCAGAGGCAGGTACAGGGTACATGGTGTGAGCACCATGTGCAGCGGTGAGCAGAGGAGCCTGCGTGCGCACCGGGGCGTTATGATTGAGGCAGCTCTGAACCGCCTGCTCAGAGCTGGGATAAAGCTCCAGCAGAGCTGTGCTGCAGCACGTTGGCTTGGAGGGAGCTCCACGTGTGAGCTGCTCAGCTGCACCTCATCTTTGTCGGTCAGCATAGAGCTGCAGCCAGGTAAATGCTCTTTCATACCTTGTTGTATAGGTGTGTTGTGCCATGGAAGGGGCTGCTGCAGGACCCATCCAGCCCAGACTCGAGCAGTACCCGTGGGTATTTGTCTAACGTGCTCAGATGCTGTTGATTCATCACTAACAGGTGATGCTGTGGAAATCTCTGAAATGATCCCACAGATGGACAAATGTTTTCTTGCTGGGAAGATGAAATGCAAAGGGTCTAATTGATTGACTTGATTTGCGGCAGAGGACAGGAGCAAGAAGAGTGAGGCTGCAAGAGGGGCTCAGGCAAAAAGGGTTGGGATATGCTTGGTGGCAGCTGCTCTTATTTGAGGTGCAGTGGATGTAGTGGTGGTTGAGGGCAGCACTGATGAGCCATTAGTGCACTTTTGCAATGGGTCAACTTTTGCTTGGTTGTAACCAGGTTGGGTTGGGAGAGGGGCAAGGACAGGTAAGGGCTGAAGCTGAGTTTACTGGGCAATACTGATGGTGGGTGGATAGTTGAACTAGATAATCTTGGAGGTCTTTTCCAACCATGAGGATTTGATGATTCTATGAGGCTGTGTTAAGTCTGATTGTGCTGGTTCCAGTGGTCAGAATACCACCAGAAAGGGGTGAGGAGAAGGTATGTGTGTTTGTAGAGTGCATAATTAACCTTTTCATGCTAGCAATGAGTCTTTTCCTTTTTTTGCAGGCTGGTCTCAATTCATGCCTCTGCCCATTGACACAGTCCCTGAGAGTTATTAGGGTATTGCCACCCGTAAGAGCTGCCTCAGTCCTCCCCTTTTTTGTGGCTGATGGGGTCCTGAAGGTTGGGACTGCTGTGCTGCAGTGTACTGTGGCTGTAGCAGACACTGGGTGCTGGCATAAATAAACCCCAGGAGGAGGAAGGAGGGAGACCACTGGGGTGGCTGATGACTCTTAATCCACCTTAACTTCTGCAGGTTAGCCTTGGTCAGATGCCTGATTAAAGCCATCAGCCAAGACCATTTGGTGTCATTTTGTGTGCTGACACCTTCTGATACTACTGGGGAGTAGCAAATCAAAGATCAGCGATAACTGTGCATGCAGGTGTGAAAATAAGCTTTGATGCTGAAGAAACTGAGGTAGTGCTTGGTGTTGGAAGGGGTATGGCAGAAACTCAGTACCTAGGGGAGAAATGGGAAATACATTCTTACAGCAGCCAACTGGAGCAAAATTCCTGTGCAGCTTAGGAGTCCTGAGAGCAACTCACAAGACATATCCTCTAATTCCCTCCTTCTCCCCCCTTTGACTTTGTTGTGGCCCCTCCGGATAGGTATGGAGCCCTAATCTCTCTGGCACGCAAATAACCACTGCCACAGGTTTGCCATGCTCTCAACCTTCACCCATTTTCCAAGTGTGGTCTCTTGTAGCAGGGAAAGGAACATGAGGGCTGTATACGGAGGACATGGAGGGAGACCTTGTAGTAAATGTTTGCCTGCTATGCTCTTCTCTTGCAGAATCTGCAGATCTCTTGCTGTCTCCCTGTGTCACCCTACCTCCTCCCGGCCTGCCTTTCCCCACCCAGGCTACACAATGGGGAGAGCTGACCCAGAGGAAGGGCAGCTCCCAGCTCCTGTGAAGCCCCCAGATGGCGGCTGGGGCTGGATTGTTCTCTTTGGCTGCTTTGTGATCACTGGCTTCTCCTATGCCTTCCCAAAAGCTGTCAGTGTCTACTTCAAGGAGCTCATGAAAGATTTCCACGTGGGCTACAGTGACACAGCCTGGATCTCCTCTATCATGCTGGCCATGCTCTATGGAACAGGTGATGCTTGGATATAACACTCCCTACCCAACCTGTGCCTCCTCTGCCCTTACAGAGTTCCAAACCATGTCCCCATGAGCACACTCAATGGCCTCATCCGGAACCAGTGTGCTGAAGACAGTTCTCTTGCTGCATACATCTAGATGCGTGGTACATTTCATGTCTCTATCTCCTTTGTCCCAGGAGATCTCTGGGGTCACCCCACTGTCCACGATGTTTGCTGAAGCACCAAGTCCTTTATTGTTCCCAGAGAACAGGGAGCTGAAAGCAGGGCAGGGCAAAAATCTCCACACCAGGACTTCCATCCCTTGGCCAGGTCCAGGGACTGTGTAGCTAAACAGCCAAGCAGTGATCTCTGCCGTTAGAGTTTCATCTTCCCCGGTGCCCTGTTTGGGCACACTGCCCCTTCCCACATGTCCTGCCTGTCTATCTTCACCTTCTGAAATCCTACTCTGTCTTCTCTGCTTCCTCCCAGGACCAGTATGCAGCATCATGGTGAACCAGTTTGGCTGCCGGCCTGTGATGCTCATTGGAGGGCTGCTAGCTTCCTCTGGGATGATTCTGGCATCTTTTACCACCAACATCATTGAGCTTTATCTGACAGCTGGTGTGCTGACAGGTGAGAGCCCCAGGAATAGGGGTGGCACACCGATGGAAGAGCCAAGAGTGCACTGTATCGCCCTTTAGCATTGCCATGTCTGGCATCAGGTCACCTCTCAAACTATTTACACCTGCTCACAGGAGGCATCTAGTCTTGAATGTTGCACTGTAGGAGGTTTATCTGCTGAATGTAAACAGTCAGGAGAGAGGGACAGAAGAAAGGCAAGCAATGCCCAGTGATCACGGCAATCGGAGTGGCAAGAATACATAGTGGTATTGGGACAAAGACTCTGTTAAGAGCAGAGATCCTGTCTAAATGTGGTCACAGATATTAGATTCAAATACAGTTCCAATAGACAGGCTGTTAGCCCATCTTTTCCAGTGGAGAAGAGGCTTGTGGGGAAGGACTTCAGGACTAGGGCAGTTTAGGGTGGGTTTTTGCTTGTTGTAAGACATGTCTCACCTCCTTGCACTCCGTCCCTCTCTCCCGGCTCTCACCCTCTCATAGGTCTGGGTATGGCGTTGAACTTCCAGCCCTCACTGATCATGCTGGGCACCTACTTTGACAAACGTCGGCCTCTTGCCAATGGACTGGCTGCTGCCGGGAGCCCTGTCTTCCTTTCCTCCCTCTCTCCATTGGGGCAAGTGCTGCTGGAGAAGTTTGGTTGGCGAGGAGGATTCCTCATCATGGGGGGCCTTCTACTCAACTGCTGCACTTGTGGGGCAGTCATGAGACCCCTGGATACAGGCATGAAGAGGAAAATGGAGAAAGTTCAGGACAAATATGAAGCCAAGGAGATGCTGCCCATGGGAGGCAAGTCAGAGGAGGGCATCAGCACCACTGATGGAACCAAGAAAGCCAAGAAAGCCAAAAAGAAGCCCAAGAAAGGAAAGAAGCTGTTGGATTTCAGCATCTTTTCCAACCGAGGCTTCATCATTTACACTATCTCAAAGTTCATCCTGGTCTTGGGTCTCTTCGTGCCCCCCATCTTGCTGGTCAACTACGCCAAGGACACAGGAGTACCAGACACAGAGGCCGCCTTCTTGCTCTCCATCATCGGTTTCATCGACATCTTTGCCCGGCCAGCGTGTGGCATGGTGGCAGGCTTGAAGTGGGTCCGCCCTCACGTGGCATACCTGTTCAGCTTCTCTATGCTCTTCAACGGCTTGACAGACATCTGCAGTGCCAGGGCTAGCAATTACACGGGGCTGGTCATCTTCTGTGTCTTTTTCGGCATTTCTTACGGCATGGTAGGGGCTCTGCAGTTCGAGGTGCTGATGGCCATCGTTGGCTCCCAGAAGTTCTCCAGTGCCATCGGGCTGGTCTTACTTATCGAGGCTTTTGCTGTGCTCATCGGTCCACCCTCCGCAGGTAGGTCTTGTGCTGCAAAATGCAGGTGGTTAGTTTTGCTGCCATCCCACAGTATTGTTGGTATTGGATGTGGTCACAATCCTTGAATAAAGGCCCCACTTCTCAATTTCAAAGTTCCCCTGAAAGCTCTCTGAAGTGAGAGCTCCTGGTCTCCCTTCATGCACTGCAGCTGAGCCAGGGAAGAAAATGGTAAGTGATATTTCCTTCTGCTTTCCTGACAGATCTCAGCAATGGCAGGCATACAGAATGGCACAACATCTAGAGTCCCTCAGTCCTCATCAGTGACACTTCTCCCTCTTTCATGCTGGGATCCCTGTTTCTGTCTTCACTGTGAACACTGCATCAAATCGTGTTGTGGTTAGGGTCAGGCACATTTTGCAAGCAATCCCGTGAGAGTCTTCAGGGGGGCAAGATTATTTCAAGTTCTCCTTGATGTCTGTGGCATTTTGATTGATGCTGTGAATGGTGATTTCAACTTGTATTAGCCCCAGCCCAAGGTACCAGCATGTTGGTGTCAATCAAGGCTGCCAAAATGGTCTGTATAGGCACATGAAGCATTTGCTGTTAGAGTGTTTTCCATGCTCGCCTGCCCTCTTACATGTTATTTGACAGAGTTTAAGGTCAAATGGTTTCTTGTACAGAACAGGGTGTAGGAGACTACTGTGGATGAAATTTCTCCAGGTCAGGAAACTTCAAGAATGACAATGGGAGTCTGAAGACACTGAGGCAGCAAAGCCAGGACACACAGAGCAGGTAGTGGAGGCTGTATCTTCAAGGCCACCACCCCACACATCAGTCAGTGGTCAAACGACTGTGGGCCAGCATGGGGGGTGGGACTCCCTCCTCCGTTCACCTGTGCTTTGGCACTGTGTGAGTACAAGCTGGGACAGAGATGGAGCAGGGTCACTGATGGAGCACAGTCACATGGACTAGGGGGCTCCTATTTCCCCACCCTGGAGGGACTTTGCTGCAAGATCTGCTTGTATATGAGCTTGAGGGTGCTTGCAAACCCCATAGCTTGGACTTGGCACAGCCGCTTGACTGAAAGAAAGGGCTTGAACAAAGTGTCTTTGTTTGGTGTAATCCTCCTGAGCTGTTTCCCCCTGTATGGGGCTGAGGGGCTCGCTGTAGGATAAGCTGCATACAATCCACACTTGCTGTCCAGTTGGGGTGAAAGGGGCACATTCACCTGCTAAGGAATTCGCTGTTTGTGAATGCAGGGCCGGTTTCATTACAGCCGGGGCCAGGGGTCACATCTGCTGGCAGGAGAATGCAGGACTGGGATGAAGCTTTTGGCCATCACAGCCCCATCTCAGCTTGGCAAATGCTATCTCAATTACAGTGGGAACTCTCTTTCCATTGTCAGCCTTGAGACATTTGGGAGAACATAGGATCATAGAAAGGCTAGGGTTGGAAGGGACCTCAAAGATCACCTAGTTCCAACCTCCCTGTCATGGACAGGCTGCCAACGACTAGAGCAAGCACTAGATCAGATTGCCCAGGGCCCTATCCAATCTGGCCTTGAATGCCTCCAGGAATAAGACATCCACAGCTTCTATCCACAGCTTCTCTGGCAGTCTGTGCCAGTGCCTCAATACCTTCTCTGTGAAAGAAGAGATATCTCTTGGGCAGAGGTGTGTGCCCTCCAAGGAAGCCTTGTCCCCAGAGGCTGATCTCATCTTGACAAGAAGATGGCCCACCACAGCCTGACACCATGATATCAGTGCGTCAGCATTGCTTAGCCTTGTCAGAGCATGGGAAAGCACCAAACCCACACTCTTAAAGTAGTGACCTTGGTGGCACAGCATGACTCCTGGTTGCCCATCTCCTTACCCAGGATGATTTCGGATATCCAGGCTTCCTGCTCTTCCTTTCAGAAATGGGTCCCCAGGTGCTGCCCAGCAGTGCTGGTCTGTCCATCCAGGAATGCTTAGACCGAGGCTAACCTCCTTGTTTCTTCTCCAACCTCCAGGCCGCTTGGTTGATGCTCTCAAGAACTACGAGGTGATCTTCTACTTGGCGGGCTCAGAGGTGGTGCTCTCCGCTCTCTTCCTGGCCATGGCCACCTACTGCTGCCTGAACCGAGGGAAGAAGACACCTCCCCCAGAGAAAAACCCTTCGGCAGGTGGTGGGAGTGACACTGAAGAAGCCGAGTCTGATGTGCAGGAAGCCGAGGAGCATAGCAGCGATAACCACCAGCCAGCCCATGGCACTGACAAGGCCATGGCGGCAGCCAATGAGGAGGCCAACCATGTGGAGGATGAGCAGAGTGGGGAGGGAGGCAGGTGTCCTGAGGCGGATGGGGAGGTGTTGGCACGAGCTGGCTGCAATGCCGACCAGACAGTGGAGAGGGACAGTTTTTAGCCAGGAAAGAGAAATGGGGATGTAAATTACCGGCCTGGTTTGTGTGTAACTCAGCGTGGGAGTGTAGATGGAATGTGGATTGAAAAAAAGACAAAAGCAAATGTAAGAGATAAAAGGGTGAAAGACTAAGAATAGCTGGTCCTCATGTACATACGTCCACATACCTACACAGAGATATGTCTACTTGTGTCCTGCACCATGCTGGTACAACGCAGGTTCAGTGCAGCCCAACCCCCTACCTCCAAACCAGCCCTGAAAAATATATTTTGAAGAGGCTGCGAAGGACTCTCCTTTTCTTTCTGCATTGTCACAATACAGAACACAATTAGAGACTCTTTGTTATCATCTCTGGTATGCTCTGGTCTGGTGTCAGTGTTTCCTTTACGCCATTCCCAGGGTCAGGAACAGCAGGATAGCACAGTCCTGAATGGCACAGCTCTTGGAAGGACCAAGGGCAGCTGCCATACCTAGTCTGGGCTTGCCTTGCTCCTGGGACACACAAACCAGGGAGTTTGTAATAGTCATGGGAGCAGGCATGCCAGGCAAGCCGGGAATAGGTTTAAGAGATGCTGTAGCTCATAGCTATCATTGGGTCATGTCCTGCTGCAGCCAGCATGGGATTAAATGCTGCATCTCCCCCAGTACCTCCTCAGGGCACTGCTGAACCAGTGGGAGCACTGGCTGTGATCACCTCCCTCTTGAGCACCTTCAGTGGGCAGTAAAGCTGGGGCAGTGGCACATAACGGCTCTTCCAAGCTGCTACCAGAGCGCAAGAAGGCGACACCTCGAAAGGGCTAAGCCACTAAGCAAGCCCCACAGCACGGAGCTTTGCTGCCAGGAATAGCAGTGGCAGCTGGGGGTGGGGTTGTCAGTGCAGGTAAACATCCCTGTCCCAAGCACTTATCCACTGAGCAGGAATGGCACAAGATGCGCGCGTGTGTGTTTTCTTTTTTAATAGAGAAAGGCCTCTTACATAACAGAATCAAAGGTAAGGCAGAAAGACAAGCTGCGGCCTTTCGGGTGCCACCAATGAGGGTGGTGGGGCACGTGGCCAGGCAGGCAGGACTCCCCACCCCCTGCCCACAGTGGTGGATTTCTGCATTCAGGGAGGACAACCTTCCCTGGCATGCTTAAACCGCTCTTAATCTGCTTTGGGACCGGATCTTTTATAAACACCCTTGGCCAAAGCCCTTTCTTCCCGTTAGCCCCGGAGGAACCTCTTACAGCAAGGAGGGATCAAGACCTAAGCAGGACTGGTCTGCAAGGAAGGCAGAGCATGAGACCATCAGACAAGGTGGTCATTCCAGACAGGACTGACTGTTAATTGATGAGTAACAGGTGAAGCCAACAGAACTCACAGAGCTGTTTAAACCTAGCTGGGGCATAGGAACACGATGGAAAGTTTCTCAGGTGTATCTAGCATGAAGAAACCATAATTGATGAGTAAACTACAGTTCCTGGACGAGTGCCAGTTTAAGAACATGACCGACAAGAAGAGTTAAAACAGAAATTGGAAGGCAAAACACAAACCCACGTAGGTCTGTGCTTGGTTCTACCACGGCTAATAGCGCTGTCATTAGTTCTAACTGTGAGCAAGTCACATCAGTGTATTCAGGTGTTTTTGCTTTTTTTTTTTTCCTTTCTCCTCTCCAAGCCCCCTTAGAAATCTCACAAATCAGACCAAGCACCACAAGAAATGCTGCATGCACAGCCCCGGGAGAACACACAGCAGCAGCAAGAGTGATTGGAGCCCTGTGGGCATTCAGCCACTGCTCTGCAAACTTGTTCTTCCCACAGAAGGTAAGAGCACTATTTCTGCTCTGTGCAAACAAGTTGCTCCCCAGCAACCTGTCCTCCAGACCCTGGTCTTCCTTACCCATCAATGCCACCTTCTAGAAGCAGCTGACAGCTTCCCAGAGGTCCAAGATCCACAGCCTCAAAACAACCACCCTTGTCAGCACCAGGCAGGTCCCTAGAACAACATCCCCTCTGTTTCCCTGTCACCGCTTCACATTTCCCACAAGCCTCCTCCTCTTAAATCTTTTCACAGAGGCAAATAACAGCCCTTAGGCTATGAGATCTTGCTGTAGACTGTGCTGTGAGATAGCCAGCCCTCTTCCTGCCCACTTTCTCTGTGATGGCAACCACCACTGCTGGGCAGTTGCCAGAAGACCTCAGGGGATGGTTTCATGCCAAAATCAGTCTCCTGCAGCCTCTGGTTCTGGCTCAGGCCCTAATACACCCACTGCTCAATGCACACTGGCTTGTGACACACAGAAGATTCTTTACTGCAGCACTTGCTTGTGTTTGGGGTCTTATTCAAGCAAGGACAACCATACTCACTCATGAACACAGAGTAAGTTTAAGGGATGCTGCTGAGGCAGAAATGGGTGCCATACTTCTTCTGTACCACTCCCCAGAAGGCTAAAGGTGCTTGCTTGTAAGCAGGTTGCAAAAAAATGCTGCTGGGCTACGTTGCCCTCCACTTTCACACTGTTGACTTTCAGGCAGGTTCCACTGAAGCTTTTTCTGTTCCTCTGAACTACTCCACATTCTGGCACAACAGAAAGAGGATCAGGGATTTGAGCACCAACTTACCTCTGGTGCAATAGTTGAGCTGTACAGAAAAGCTGGTCCCGAAGCAGCATAAGGACGACTCCAAGCTGGTGTTTCCTTGGAAGCCAAGATGCAGAGAAACTGTTACTGCATGGAGGAATGGCCTTGCTACAGCATCTGTAATGTTCTTCAGGAAACCTGAGCATCCCAGCAGAGACATCTGTGAGTATGAGCGAGGAAAAACTGACCAGCATAAGCAAACACATCTCTAAAGCAAAGCCAGGAACAACAGAAAACAAAACGATCACATTTTTTTTTTATTACAGACAACAGTACACTTACAGTCCATTTACATCTTCCAGGGCAGCTTGCCCATGGACAACTTTCTTCCACGAACCCATGGAGATAACAAGTCTCCAAAAATACGTTAAAAAAAAAAAAAAAAAAAAAAAAAAAGAGAAAATCAAACTAAACATCTCTATCTTAAATTAATGCCTTTAAATAACTTCTCTCACTACCATTAGAATGTAATGACAGAGAAGTCAAACCCCTGGCCTCTGAGCAGCACACCATTGCCAGCAAGAAGTGTCATCTGGATCTGGGATCTGCCCACAAGGGTGGTGGAAGGAGAAAAGTAAGCTTTACCTTTCCCTCCTTCCCTTGTGCTGGGGAAGGTGCCATTAGCTTCTGGCAGAATGGAATGGGTGGGTAGAGAAGAGAGCAGTATTTTGTATGCTAATCGTACTTCACACTCAGAATCACATGTCTCTGTCACAGGCCTTATCTTCCCCTCTCTGCAGGGCTTCCTGCCTCTCCTCGTAAGTGTAAGGATAGATCACCTTTGCAGTCCTAAGATGGTTCCTCACGGCACCTGTACAAGGAAAGGAGTTTGCAGGTCTTACTGCACATCCTCAAGAAGCCCATTTGGTTACTATCCATTGCAAAGAGCAGCATGAGAAAACAAGAGAAAGGAAATGCATGCAGCTTTGCTCTTACTTTCAGGAATCTGACTCAGACAAACACGTTAACCTCAGCATCTCTCTGCTGACTGGGAGAACTTTCTGGCCTGGGGTCCTCTCTACCACATGTGGCAGAGCTATATATTGGAGGACCCTAACCCCAGGGTATAGCTACGGAGTGTACAGATGGTGCTAGCTGTGCAGGAGCTCAAAGAATATGAAGAGGATAGCAGTCAAGGAAATAGTCTTGTAGATCCTTGCAGCAGTCGACCACCAGCCTCTTCCAGTACAGCTTCTCCCCCAGACCTCATGGCTAGGGGATGAATGCATCACATGTACCACCACTAGTTCCAGACATCAGCTCTGACTTGCTCTTATTTCTTCAAAGTGGTGCTGGAGAGAGTTGGGAGTGATCATCCTAAAAAAAACCTGTCCCAGAGCTCACTGGATGTGCTCCAGGAAGAAAAGAGAGGAAGACTGAAATAAGCTAAAGCTTGAAGCATGAAGACAGCAAGCAGTGAGGTGAAGAAAACAATGCTGGTGCTTTTTCCAGTGGCACAAGGGACGACAGGAGGAGACTGTTGTTCCATTTACAGTTATCTCCAAATGTTCAGCAGCCTTCCACATGCCAGAGAAAAATGGTGCATCCTGCACGCTCAGCTGTGCGCATGGAGTCACATGGCGATGTGGGAGGAGATTCTCTTCCCCACAACTCAGTATCCAAGTTGGGCAACAGAACTCTGCAAGGGAAAAAGGAATATCCAGGCAAGCAAGCAAATGAAGAGAGGAATGCAGAGGTCGGTCCCAATCCAACCAGCTACTGCCACCCAGAACAGAGGAGGAATCCCAGGCTGGACAACACAGTCAATCATGAAGGATGAATCGCCATGTAAAATACATGTTTTCATAACAGTCTGCAAAGTCATTTTCTCCGTGCCATACTGGCACATTCAGGCATCATCAATGAGCTTTTCACCATTTGCATCCTCCTTCCCACTACTCTCTCTCTCACTTCCTTCTCCTTCTTCTTCTTCTGCCCCGTCTGTGTACGTGTCCTTCTGCCCATAGTTCAGAGTAGTGCGGGCAAGGTCCACCTCAATGGGAAAGACATCTGCGTCTCGGAGCACAGCATAGCAGTCGTCATAGTACTTTGACATTGTGGAGACAAAACGCTGGAGCTGGAACACGATGTCTTGCACTGCAATGGAAACACGTTGGGAACAAATCAGGTGAAACCCCTTCCCAAAAGGTGCCGAGGCTGTGATCAACATTCCCTCACTAGCAGGTGATACAGACTCCCACTCGTTAGTCCCACGTGGTGCCTGAGCACAGATATCTCAGGCGTAGTCAACCATAGAACCACCAAGGTTGGAAAAGATTTCCAAGGTCATCCAAGTCCAACCATTCACCTACCACCAGCATTTCCCCACTAAAACATGACTCCCTTAGCACAACACACAAACATTTCTGGAACACCTCCAGGTGACTCCATCACCACCCTGGGCAGCCTGTGCCAGAGCCTATCCACTCCTTCAAGGAATAAATTTTTCCTAACATCCACCCTGAATCTCCCTCCCCTGGTCAACTCGAGGCCGACAAAAGGTTCTTCAGCATAGATCGTTAAGATGAACGAGGAGCACGAAACCTCAAGCCACAAATGCCTCACATATGCCTGAGCCTTCCAGGTGCTGGACACAGCAGTGGTACTCACCATG